CCCGGGGGGGGGGGGGGGGGAGAGGGAGGCAAAAATGCCTTGCTGGGCTGTGGTGGGTGAGCCCCAGGTGCACTGGGAGAGGGCCCTGCTGAGGAGGAGGTGAGCGAGGTGTGGGGAGAGCCTGCTGGCAGTGGGTTAGCGAGCCGGCCTGGAAGAGATTCATGGACTTGAGGTGTTGAAATCTGAATAGGCTCCTTGCTCTCGGGGAGCCGATCTGAATGCGTCCTTCCTCGTCACCTGAAGGAAGGCTAGTAGAAGTGGCCTTAGTCTCCTGTTGCAGTTTGTGGCTGTATTAGGGAATGTAGCTTGCTGGTGATTTCTCAGCTCCTTCCCTAACTGGTGCTTAGCAAGCCCTGAATTTCATTATTGTTCTTATTAAGTCTGGCATAATCAGGTTTGGTAGATCATGCCTCTGGTATTGCAGGTGTGTCAGCAGTCAAGAACCTCAAAGGGAGACAAAGATGAGCTTTGGAGGGAGAAAAAAAGTGGCAGTGAGAGAAAAGCTATTGGGAAGACAGTTGCATAGACTGTATTTATTACTTGGGGTCACAGGCATATAGAAAGAAAGAAAAAAAAAACTTAAGAGGTGCGTCTCTAGTGTTTTTGGAGGCTGTCTGTGCTGCCTCTGGTAACTGCATGGTTTAACATTTGTGCTATAGTTTCATTGACTTGTGCCTTGCACTGTTTGGATCCACCTTTTATTTTGGCAAGGCTGAATTCAGACTTGCTAGCTACTCTAGGAGCTGTCTGGCATGCCTACCTGGTTTGTTTGCATTGTATTGCCTTGTAGATTGATGTGCTGCTAGAAAAGAATTTCTCTTCTACAGGATTTTCTCATTAGTAGGGCAGTCGGGATGGGTTGTCTGCTGTGAAGAAAAATTGTGAGGGTGTGGGGAAGGACTTATTTGCCCTATAAATCAGACTGAAAATCTTAGGAGTTAGACAGAATCAGAAGGAACGATATCAGAAGCATTTAAAATACCATAGGATGCTATTCACCTGTGTTTTTTGCATTTTAAACATATCTAGACGTCAGACAAGGTGAGCTGGCTCAAAGCAGTGGGGTGCTAGTCATGTCTATGCCTGCAGGGATAAAGTTAACTAAGTGTGATTCAGCCCAAACTGACTTGTCCTGTGAGCTGAGTGGCTCACTTGCAACTCAGGCCAGAACATGATCCAACCAATAGATGGGTAGTGGGAATGCTCGGTGAATTTGGTGTATTGGCTTGCGCCCAAACTAATGTGGCAGTTTAGAAACAATCTTTGTATGTCTCTTCTTCTTTACTCAAATGTCGTTGTTGCTATGGTCCCATTTTATATCTTGCATTACCAAATATCAATATGCTATGTAGTCCAAATGCAACTACATAGAATAAGTAATGAGAAAACCCCTCAGGGATGAACTTTTAGATTTATTTTGAAGAGGAACTAAAGAATCAGAAGCTTGAATGGTTATATTTTTGTTAAACGTAAGCACAGATGAATAGCCAGGTAGAGAATTTATTTCTCCCACGTTCCCCTTTTAGCATCTATTCATGAG